CCAGAATTATGGTCACTACTTTGATAGTTAAAATCAAAACCAAGGCTGCACACTTCCACTTTTGTATCTGTTTATTAATCCAAGCCCTGTTTTTGTCACTGAGACACAGCAATGCACTACTGTTTATGAGTAGAACTAGCTTGAAGTTTCTTGAAATTTTGGAACGCTGTTTTTCCTCACATTTTCTCCATACATATTTTTAATGAATGCCTTTTCTTTTACAAGCTAATATAGAGCAACCAATATTATCTCAGAGATGATAACACGCTTCATAAAGTTGTAAGGATATTTATTTTTTAGTTAGTTTCAGTAATAAACTATCACGTGCTCTAACTCGTTTCATTTCTAATTAAAGATTAATTATTTTCTGGCTGTATTTTACATTCTGGACAGCAGTCCAGTTATAGGTGAGTAAACATCAAGGGTGGGGCATAGTTTTTAAATTAAAATAAAGCTGTAGTGTGCTTTAATAGACTTGCAAAATTAGATCAGTCCCATAGAAAGTGATTTTATTTTCTTTGATATAGGAAGACTATACAGAAAGCAGATTTTTTGTTTTGTTTTCTTGTTTCAAAAACACCTAATTCCTGCCATTAATTTGTTTTAGGAGGCAGAAATTCAAGTTTGTTCAGGATATATCCATGAAAACAGAATCAATGAACAGCACTGTAACATGTGACAAGTACTAAATGCATTTATGTACCTGCAATAGAAAAAAAAAAAATCTATTTTATTTTCTAGTAGGTAACAATTACTGTGAAAAATCTGCAGAACCTTGTTGGAGTGTGTTTGTGATGAAATTTAATGTCATCAAATCATTTCTATCCTTCTTTGGGTTTTAGAATATTATTTGAGTTTTCTTTATTCTTCTAATGACCATTTGTTTACAACAGATGTGATCCTTTCTGCAAACAGCTGTATTCTGTTCTCCCCTTGTCTTTTCTATTTACAGAAAGCCATTAAGGGAAAAAAAAAAGAAACCTCAGGCTACAAAATAAAGGCTAACTTCTGAGTTTGGGAAGATGCAAACCCAATAAAAATGTTATTGAAAAGTAGCCTTAAAAGACTACTTTCCTGTTAATGCTCTAGCCTTAGTCATTTCTGGCAACACACAGATTCCACAGGTAGATCCAGTGCAAGCACTGGGCAGATTTCTTACAGGCTTGCATCTTTGTCTCATGATTTGAAGGGAGCAATGAGATGGCAGGGTTGGGGCTTTTCCTTCCTTCACCCCACTGCAACAGAACTTAAATTCACCAACTGGAAATTATTATACTGGTCTTACATTGAATCTCAAGGGCTCTCAAGCCAGTAGTCTTGCTGCTCAATGAGGGTTAGAATCTGATCTCAAGTTAAATTCTGTATTTCTGACATGAAAAAGACTACACAGTTTATATCAGAATTCTGTTCACAAACTTGTACACGTAATTCTGTTCGATATATTGGACTATTCAATATATTGGATTATTGGACTGGGCAATCAGTCCAATAATAAGCTACATCTAGAAAGTTAGTTTCTTACAATTTTCATTAAAGGACATAAAAGGAAATCTCCTCAGACTAACCATGAGTTCAGGTGTGTTAAGTATATGCTTATTAAAATTCTCCCAGTAATGTCATACACACTACAGCTGAAGAACTCAATGTCTCTTAGAACTACAGCAAATTACTTTCTTATATTTAACATATTAGGAGACTACACTGAAGGGCTCCTGTGAGGAAAACAAATAACTTTCAAGGAAAGAAAAAACATTTTAATAACTAGTAAATCAAGTATTCCTCCTTCAGTGATTAACTCCCTCATATGCAGTGGCTAATCACTCAGGTGCGGTATGAACTACCCTTCCTTCATAGCCTTTGATAACTACTTGCAGGAAATCTTCAAATATCAGCATTTTATAAGATTAATATTTTCCCTCATTCTATAGGATGAGGAAACTGGTACATTTTTTGAACTCTCCCTTGAAGGTACTCATCTCTGCTGAGAGTCTCAGTTTGAAATTGTTTTATGTAGCAGCACATTTGAAATCAAATTTTGTGAGCTCTGGAAAAGCAAGAAGCGTCCATGGGAACCATCCATCATCTTGAGGTTCAATCTAGCAAGCAGAACTGGTAGTTTGAAATAAAAACTATGAATAGTGGAAAGTTTATTCTGCTCCTCACCCAAGACTTCCAGGCCAGAGGGTAGAGTACCCCAGTGATAACTGGTATGAATTTTAAAGACAGATGTAAGGAAAGGCTGAGGTTCTCAACACCTTCTTTATCCTCAGTGGTCACAATCTCTGCAGTATTCAGTAAAAGATGAAGGCTCTCCTAAGTCCTCCTCTTACTGCTAATACATCGTAAAAAAGTTTTTTTTCTCTCTTCCCCCAACAGCCAAGTTGGGGTAAAGCTGGTCAAGCTGGGCTTTTGCTTTTCTAATTTTCTCCCTGCACATCCTAACAAGTTCTTCGTACTCTCCCCAAATTGTCCATCCCTTCTTCCACAGGAGGTAGATTCTCTTTTTCTCCTGGAACCTCAGGAAAAGCTCCCAGTTCATCCATGCTGGTTTTCTTCCCTGCTAGCTCATCTTGCAGCTCAGGGGGACAGCCTGCTCCTGCTCCTTTAGGACCTCCTTTAGCTCTCCTTCTTGAGGAGAGCTCAAGGGAGAGCACCTTTAGCTCTCCTTCTTGAGAGCTACCTGCCTTCCTTCCCTTTATCCTTCAGGACTGAATCCCAAGGAACTCTCCCTACCAGTGTCCTGAACAGTTCAAAGTCCACCCTGTGGAAGTCATAGAATCATAGAATGACCTGGGTTGAAAAGGATGATGATTGATCATCTAGCTTCAACCCCCCTGCTATGTGCAGGGTTGCAAACCACTAGACCAGGCTGCTCAGAGCCACATCCAGCCTGGTTTTGAATGCCTCCAGGGATGAGACATCCACAATCTCCTTGGGCAACATGTTCCAGTGTCGTAGTCCAAGGTAGTAGTCTTGCTGCCCCCAGTCCTGACTTTACCAAGAATTGAAAACTCTACCACCTCATGGTCACTCTGTCCAAGACAGATCCTGGCCTCTCCATCTCCAACTAGTCCTCTTCTGTTTGTGAACAGCAGGTCTGACAGGGTATGTCCACTGGTAGGTTCTCTTATCAGCTGCGTCAGGAAGTTAACTTCTGCTTGTTCTGTGCTGTACTGTATTTCCAGAATATAGCTAGGAAGTTGAAGTTCTTATGAGAACAAGGGCTGTCAATCACACAACTTCTGCCAGCTGTTTGTAGAATGCCCCATAAGACTCTTCATCCTGGTTAGGCGGTCTATAACAGACCTCCATCAAGATGCCCACCCTGTTGGTCCTCACCGTGATCCTACCATATCATTCTAGCCCTAAGCTCAACATCAAAACACTCTTTAGCATAGAGAGCCATATCACCACCCCTCTTTCTTTACCTGTCCCTTCTGAAGAGCTTGTTGCCCTCCACTACAGCACTTCAGGAGTTTCCATAATGGCAACTAAATCATAGTTTGTGTGCTGCAATATGGCTTCCAGCTCCTCCTGTTTGCATTGGTGCAGATGCACTTCAGCTGAGCAGCTTGCCTCATCTCTAGTCCTGTCATTATTCCCCTAGACTCCTCTCTAGGAGGCCTGGTTTTATCCCCTTCCCCCTTCATAACTCGTTTAAAGCCCTCTCAACAAACCCTGCCAGTTCTAGGGCTAGGATCTGTTTCCTGCTTTGAGACAGGTGAGATTCATCAACAGACATCAGGCTGAGTAAACCGCCCCACAGTAAAAAAATAAAATAAAAAGTGTTTGCAATTGCATCAGCCTCTCAGCCATGTATTTATGAAATGGGTTTTCCTGCCCCTTTCAATACACAGAGGATTGTCTCTTCAGTCAGTTCAGGTTAGCTGACCTGTTTCTGTGCAGCGATTTGTGCCCTCCAGTCTTTTCACTGACAGGACAACAAAAAAAAAAAAAACTGAGAAACTGAAATGCTTTTGGCTCTGTACAGCACTGCTAAGCAACAACTAAAACATTGGTGTATTTAAACATTATTTTTCTCCTAACATGGAATACTGATAAACCAGGACAAAACCAAAACTCAATATCATACCTGACAAAATGAAGAAAATCAGCTCTGTCCCAGCTGAAAACAGGACATATCCTTACAACGACCCTACAGTTTTCAGCTCCCAAGCACTGAGACTGAATTTACCTTACAAGTGAAAACCTACCTAAATTTCCAAAAGATTTTAGGTTTTTTTGTTTGTTTGTTTGTTTTTTTAAAGGTAAGCCATCATGTATGTGCTTAGTACCCTAAATAAGTGACCTTGCCGTCAGATGAAGTGAGTACTTACAGCCTGCACTGGAATGGAAACTACATAGATAATTTTTTTAATGAAAAAATTAGGTTATTGTTTGCTGTACAGAGATATTTAAATCTGGTTATCAGTTTTTGAAAAGCTTAGCCTAAGGATTTTTTGCAAGTCTAAGTGCACATCAGTAATTGTTGCATGCAAGTTATGAATAGGAAACCAAAAAACAGGGAAGCAAACAAGGTATTTTCTAATGCACTTCATATTAGAACTATAGCAAATAATTTTACATGTCACATATCAAAAATAAGAGACCTAAACTCATTACATTTTTGGGTCCAAATCTGAGAATAACTATTGCAGAACTATCAATAAAATGTGTACTGCTGCACTAAGACTTTATCATTGCAAGTGATTACACTTCCTGACACAAATAGAAAATGTAAATAGTAAAATAGATTGGATGCCCTTTGGGGATTATTTTTTTCCCCCCATCAAATTAACACCAAATCTGACTTCTGCTTTAATAAACTTTGAAAAGGGTAACAACATATTTGTTTCAATATCAGCAAGTATTGGACAGGAATTACATGACATTAATTACGCTTTTAACAGTGGAATGATTAAACAAGATAGACTGCAATGATATGTTCATTTATATAATACATAATTCCCAAAATAAAGAGGAAAGATTTCCACACTGACCATAGTCTGTGTTTTCCGGCTCCCAACAATTTGAAGGCCAAAAATAGGGCGTCTATAGACAAAACAAAAAAGTAGGGAATTCAAGTTAGACAATGCAAGCATTATACAGTTCTTGGATTGATACAATTTCTCAAAATTGATTCACATTTTTGGCAGATCTACTATAATATTAACGTGATGATTTTGAAGTAGGCATCAAAATAGAAAATTACTTTTGTATGCTCATTTTTTGCACTAGTGTCAGAATGGCATTGAAAAGAAGAACAATGTGTTCTTTTTAAAGTTAAGGGAACAAAAAACAAGGTTACGTAGTGAGGTACTTTTTCATCTTCCCTAGCAACATACTCATCACATGACCTAAGAATCAGTTTTAGAAGCAGAAAAGATGGAACATACTTTTGGACACACTTCGTTATTCATTGTGGAGAGTTTTCTTTGTTGTATGTTAATATTCAGTACTGTTTTCTAGCTATTTGTTAAAAAATGTTAGTTAGCATATCTGGTCTTCAGAGTTATCAAATTTGTTTTCATTTATGGAAGCCTACTTTTTTTCTAATTATGTAACGTCATTTAAAATATGATTTCTTAATGGAAAGCCAATAACTAGTTTAACACTGATAATGAAAACTGCAAATTGCATTGCTAAAACATTTCTTGTCTATCAAACGAAGAATATAAAACAATACAAGGATTTTTCACATCAGGAACTTAATTTTTAAAAACCTAACTTTCTAGAGAAAATTTAAATGATTGCAATATTTATACTTAATGCATTATTTTATATATATCCACCCACAAGAATTATATATGATTTGAGAAGTTGTATTAACCTAATTAAATATATGTGGACTAGTAAGAGCAGATGTATTTCAAACTACTGATACCTCCTCGGGCTCACTTTCTGCTTCACTCTCTCTTTCCTGTTGTTTTTTTTTCCCCTCAAAGATCCCTCAGCTACACAAATGGAAACCTCTTGCTGCCCACTTATCTTGAAATTGTTTTAATGTTTATCCAGAAATCAACAAGACTGAAGGGTGACACATTTACACCTACTATCAGGTTAAACATACATTGTGAAAAATCTCTCCATTGTAAAAATGGCCTATCAACTTTAATAACTGCAATTTAAGACTTGCCTTTTACTAAGTAATAACAATGAGCTAAAGGATGAAAAAATAAAATCACAAACTAACTTTGAAGGTTGAGACAAGTTTCTTGCCAGTTTTTCTTTCTCTCTAGTGGAGAAGCAATAAGTCATTCTTCCTACAAACTATTCCTTCATTGTGCCACTAGAAGTGAGCACTATAAGCACAGATGGAAATAGAAAGTAAACTCCTCAGCAATAAATAGTAGCAGTCAGAAAACACTTGAGAAGCAAGAAGGTATAAAAATAATTTAACCATATAAATCATATAAAGTTACTTTTATTTAAGTTTTCAGACCTGGGGAGAGAGAGCACTCCTTCCTTTGACACAAATTGCATTTTAGGAGGCACCTAAGAAGAAAAGCTCAACAAAATCTGCTTTCATTTGTCCAACTAAACTTATCAAAGAAGAATCCAACAAGGGGAAATATCAAGTATGTAGAAACCTCACCCACTCAAACAGGTTCTGAGCTGAAACTGGCTAGAGTTCAGATATTGTTTGTGAAACAGAAGCAAGCTATGCTGGAGGAGGGCTAGAAAAAAATACAGCAAAAGAGCCTTTTCAGTAGTAAAAAGTCAAAGATTCTTACGATTGTGAAAATAGTTACAAAATTCTCATAAAAACTTTGGATTTCTATTTAGAAATTAGATGAACCGCATGAACACACCCCCCCCCAAATGATGATACTTGCAAAATAAATTCTGTCTTCTGAATTTAACCCAAACCCATTACATTATGAGCCAATGCCAAAGAAAGTCTCTTTGCAGAGGTTATCTTAGGCATGCAAGGACCCTTGGGAAACTTAACTGAGGGATGAAGAGGAGGAAGGGAGATCACAGTTATGGAAAGAGACCTTACTAAGTGTTCAATTACCTTTAGAGAGAAAGCACAAAGACAAACCAGTAAAATCACACCAGCAATCTCCAACTAGCTAAACCCAAAAAGAAATCATTCAGAAAGCAAATAAGAATATGTATGCTTGTAAGGAGGAGTCTAAGAATTCCCGTGCCATCATCCCTTTGGAGATAAAAACAAGATAAAACATACACTTTAATTAGCAAAGTACATAATAAATCCCTACAAAAGATTTTATAATGTGTTGTAAGGTAAGCCAAAAGAGAAAATTCACCACAAAGAAAATACTGCAACATGGGAAAGGGGTGCACATAACAGTACATATAAGCACAGAAATGCATTCCTTGTTTGAGCCTCCAAAAGGAGGGTGACTGTGAAAGACAAGAACCTTTCCGCCAGGGAATAAAAAGCAGGCATGAGATCTCCTTGTTGCAGCTCTCAACTAGGCAGGCACAAGCAGCCTCCCAGCTGCAAGCTGTGACCTTGTCTGCATAGTGCTTGAATACATTCACTGGGACCTGCTGAGAAGCACAGCTCAACAGCAATGTACTGCAAGGTGGCCAGGGCTAGCCTCAAGCCAACAGGCTCCTAGTGGGAACAAAGTTCAAGTCTCCTCGCAACCAGCCACGTGAATATGCCCCAAATTAATTTTGATATGAAGACATGACTACAGGATAAAGTACAAGGAGAAAAAAACAACAAAACAACAGGAAGAAAAAATACTATATGAGCTCAGATTGAGGCCTGATAAAATACATAACAGAATGCTTAAATCATATTTTCACATGGGTAAGCTGTCGGTTTATTCATAGAAAACAAAGCACAAAGCAAAGACTAGATAACTATTATTCACTTTCAATGCAGGAAACGGCACTGGTGGAGGTAAAGACAGGAGAAATTCTCCTAAGGCCTCGCATAAAAAAAAGAAAAAAAAAATGACAATAGAGGGCAAGATTAAAACTTAGAAAGAAAATCCAAAACCCACACTTAAAATAGCATAAACACTGGTAATGGAACTTGATATAAAGTCAGATTCTATTGAAGAGCTTTTATAATTCTTTGTTTCTGTGAAAAAAAAAAAATCAACAATAAACTTGTGCATAGATGAAATGACTGACATTTTTCTAAAGATGTATGCAACGTTTTCTTGCTTAACTGTTTGGTATTATCAATCATGAAGTTCTGGTCTTAATCTACCTTGCCATCTGTCATGCACAGTGGATAAAGTGGAATGCTTCTTGAAAAGTGGTTATAATAGAAGAAAAGCTAGCTGAGAAAAGATCCAAAGAGATACCTTATCACAAGACTTCCACAATAGTACAATTCAGTAATTAGAATACATTCTGCTTTCATGGGAATGGGTGTCAATAAGCCCTATTCAGGCTGGCTGTGTGATGCACCAGGTAGATCCTTGCTATCTCTGCTCTCCAGCTATAGTCCTCAGCCTCAGTGCCACACAGGCTCCTGCCAGCACAAAGATGGAGACTGAGGGTCTCAAGACAGAGACCCACAGTCTGACAGCACCAAGACAAGAGGGAATGGCTCCAAGCTAAAAGAGGGGAGATTTAGACTTGGATGTCAGTTGGAATTGTTTTTTGTACTCAGAAGGTGGTGAGGTAGTAGAACAGGTTACCCAGAGAAGCTGTGCACGGTCCATTCCTGGAACTATTCAAGGCAAGGGTGGACAAGGATCCTGGGCAGCCAGATCTAGTGGATGGCAAGTTTGCCTATGGCAGGGGATTTGAAACTAGATATTTTTAATATTTCTTCCAACCCACACCATTCTATGGTTCTATGGTGATTTAAAACCCTAATTTTTTTAAAAAAAAAAAAAACAAAAAAACAAAAAAAAAAAAAAAAAAAAAACAAAAAAAAAAACAAGCAACCAAACATCAAGAAAACACAACAGACGTCTGGAGTATTACTTTGTCCCTTACATCTTATGTTTTTCAGTTCATGCACATAACACATGGCTGCTTTCCTCCACTTCTATAACATAAGGGAAGAGTTCCCATTTTTCTGTTCCAGAAGTCTTTACATAGTTTCACAATCCAGATATCTAATAACTCCATAGAAGAATTTGCTGGAGAGTGTATCTACGAAGACTATGTGACAATGCTTTTACCTTATTCAACAAAGAAAGATTAGGAAGTAAGAAAATATCAATAGAAAGATCTCTGGTCTCAAGGAATGAGGTTAGGAATGAGAAGAGGAAGTATGTGCAAAGAGGAGAGCTGGCTGCTCTCTCTGATCTACTAAAACAGCCCTACAGCCATGCAAGGAGACTTTGCCCACATAAATGAACTTATCTGTACCTGGGGAATGCTAACAAAGATTGGTTTAACTATTTTTTACAAATTATATTCAGAGTATATTGTAGTATTATTACAACATCCATTAAGTACCACATATTCCTATAATACAAACATTACACAACCTATATACCTTGTCTCAAGATCTAGAAATCTGCATAGGCAAACACCTTCCCCAGGAGGGTTTCAGATGTTCAGTTACAATATTTTATACCACATGACCATTTTCAAAGGCAAAATTATAAAATATCATAAATAAATAAATAAAATAGCTTTCTTCGTGAAATGTAGAAAACCTGATGGAATTTTACTTTTCCTCAGCAGGAAATGTGATGCAGTTCGTCATGAACAAGTATTAAAGAGGGAACATTTGTCATTTTGCCATGACATCCCACTTATAGCCGGAAGGAAGGTGGGTGGTAGAACAGTTTGGAGAAAGTCAAGTACTGTTTATCAGTGCAGGCAGAAACAACGCTGCCAGTTTTTATCAGTATGCACTGATAAGGCACTTTGTTTAACTTTATCTGCAATTTGAATAAGCAACCAGTAAGCAGCTAGAGAAAAGAGGCTTACCAAGAACAATATGTGCTACCGTGGAACCAGTTAAGCACTCTGAACAGAACAGGCTGTCATAAGGTTCTTCGTGACCATTGGCAGAGCACTGGTTTTGCACTCAAAAAAAAAAAAAAGCACTCTGTTTCTCTTGAAGTATAGACTTATAAGCCAATACAAACCACAGAAATCCATAATCCTCCTTTTAATAAAGTCACATGAAACAAAATCTCATAACATAGTGCCTATTCCACACGAAACAATTTGTTAGAAGTGGCTGGTATGCATGGTGAGACATCCTGTGATAAAACAAATAGATCTGTTCTGGCTTTACTGTTAAATTAATCAATAGTAATATTTGAAATAATGAAACAGCAACTTGTGAAAAATTAGTGTTGCTTGTCAGCCTTTATAGAGCATGATTAATTTCTATGCATTAAACTGTATTACTGCAGAAATAAACCATTAAGCATCTTTCAGCTACCACTGCTGATAGTAGTAAAAAGAATTGTTTCTGAAGCTGCTCCACTCCATGACATTTTCTTTAATTCAGTAACTGGAACATGGGAGGAATATTCAAATCACCCATAAACCTTACTTCACATATTACAAAAAAAAAAAAAAAAATATATATATATATATATATATATCACAGAATCATAGGGCTTGAAATGGACCTCTGGAAATCATCTCGTCTGGCTTCCCTGCTAATCTCCACAGTCAGTTACAAAGGAAAGCATCCAGGCAGATCTCCAGAGAAAACTCCACAACAGCCCATTTCAGTGTTTTATCACCTTCAAAGAAAGATTTTTCTCAAAGAATCACAGGATGTAAAAGTGTGCCTGAGCAGATTTAAAAAAAGAGAAAAAAGGCCACTGATAGCACAGTCAGGAAGACAAATGGTTTTGAAATGATTTTTCCCTCTTTGAAATCTCAACTGCACCTGCATATACTGCATATGAGCTGAAGAGACAACGAATTAGTTCTTGCACTTGCAATTTCCAAACAAAATCTGTCAAGTGTGGATAAGATAACTTCTTTTTTATTGCAAAACTTGACTTCCAATAAAATGCTTCTCTCAAGGCACAGATGATCCAACAAGACAGTGGACAATAGCTAGAGAGCTGAGATATTCAAACATAACTTAAACAAACAGACACCAGATTATGACTGAGTCCTGAGGTGGTTAGCTGAGCAGGGTGACTCAGTGATGTTGGCAGTAACACTGTTTTGCAACAGATATTAAAAGATCCCTACAATGACTGCTATATATAATTTCCACTACAGATATAGGAAAAACAAAGTTGGAGAGTTAAATGTATTCATCAATAAAGTGTTACAGTGGTAGAAAAGAAGACATCACAGATGAAACCATCTTGCCAAAACCATGAATTTTGCTACTATCTTCACCAGAATCAAGCTTTCACAACTAAAAGTTTTGTTCCCATTTCCACATTTGTTCTCACCTATGTATGCCTCCAAACTTAAAAGTCATAAAATAACAGAACCTAAACCTCATCTCTGAAAATTCAATCTCTTAAAAAAACGTGTGATTATCAAAAGCCTGAATATTCTAGGAGTTGATTTAAAAACAAAAAGTATTAAAAAACACTTCTTTCATTATGAATGTTGAAAGACCCTATACTGAGTATGTAGTTTGTAAAAAAATAAATAAATAAATAAAAAATCTACATTCTTTCCCCAGGAAGCAATTACAGAAGCATAGCAGCTGAAAGGTTAAATCAAGCATTTCTCACCAGGTCAGCCATATTATCAGCTATGTGGACAGTGATGAAATGCACTCAGTGGGTAATGCCTGGTCCCTAGAAGATCTTTCCAAGGTGCACCTTGCTCTTCTTATTTAAACCCCTCATACATATTAACCTTTGAGTGCAGGAAGGTAGGTAGTAGATATTCAATTCCTTCTCTGGCCCCAGCTTTAAATAACATGCAAAGGCAATATGCCTTACGTTCAGAGTGGTTCAAAAAGTATCACTAAACCTAAGCTTCCACTTTGCTTTGACGACACAAAAGCTCACCTCTCTCCATGTAAGGTAAATAATATTTAGATCTATCCCCTTTGAGTTAAATTGCTATTGCAGGAACTGACCCAATTAAAACAAAGTAAGTAAAAAGAATGATTAGGAATGATTGTTTATTTCTAAAGCCACATTGTTTAAAAGAGAAGATAAAACTACAATTTTACAGCCACCCTGGTTGCAAGAGTAATAACTGAAAAAGCATAATTTTGCCTGTAGAAGGGCATTTGTGCAAATAAAGCACAATTGCTACTGCTTTTAGCTTCTTTTATACAACAGTAGCTTGTTTAAAACAAACTGGAAGTAATTTTACTGTTAGGAGTGAATGCGTCATCCTTTGGAACATTAAAAATGAAGTGAATGGGGAACACTTACAGCTCAGTTATACTCTTTTATACTCAGTTATACTCTCAGCTGTCCACAGTGCAACTAATATTCACCTGCACTTTCCTTCAAAAGAAATATCATGCTAGCAGAGGTGATGTTTTCTCATGTTTGAAACATTACTACACTAGTAGCAATACAGAATTCAACGCTCAGCACCTCTATTTGTCCTATTCTTTGCAAAGGAAATTCTCAGATACTTTGTCCTCCTGACCACTGCTTATGGGGAAGAGCCAGAAACTGAAGCCTTATCTATTTCATGATTTCTTTCCACTTTTTGCTTACTTCACAACCACATTAACCCCTTTCCTTCAGCAGTAAGCCCCTTCATCCATATGCCATCCCTCTCATTTAAAAATGTGGTGTCCCACAGGGATCAGTGCTGAGACCAATACTCTTTAATATCTTCTTCAGTGACACTGACAGAGCAGTTGAGTGCAGCCTCAGCAAGTTTGCTGATGACAGCAAGCTCCAGGGTGCAGTCAACACACCAGAAGGATGGGATGCCATCCAGAACGGCCTAAACGGGCTTGAGCAGGGGGCCCAGGTGAACCTCATGAGGTTCAACATATCCAAGAGTAAGATCTTGCACCTGGGTCGAGGCAACCCTCTCTACCAATACAAGCTGGGGGAAGAAAGCACTTAGCACAGCCCTACCAAAAAAGATCTGGGAGTACTAGTGGACGGGAAGCTGGATGTGATCCAGCAGAGTGCCCTCACAGCTCACAAAGCCAGCTGTATCCTGAGCTGCATCAGAAGATGCATGGCCAGCAGGTCAACAGAGGTGATCCTCCCACTCTACTCTGCACTGGTGAGGCCTCACCTGGAGGACTCCATCCAGATGTGGAGTTCTCAATACAGGAGAGACATTGACTTGTTGGAGCGAGGACCACAAAAATTACCAAAGGAATGGAACACCTCTCCTACAAGGACAAGCTGAGAGAGCTGGGGCTCTACAGTCGGCAGAAGTAACCAAGGCTCTGAGGTAACCTGATAATGGCCTTTCAGTATCTAAAGGGGAGCTACAGCAAAGAAGGTAACAGACTCTTTAGCAAGGTCTGATGTTATAGAACAAGGGGAAATGACTTCAAGCTCAAAGAGGGTAGACTTAGGTTGGATACAAGGAAAAAGACTTTTACAGTGAGGGTGGTGAGGCACTGGAACAGGTTTCCCCTGTGATGCAATTGATGCCTTGTCCCTGGAGACTTCCAAAGCGAGGCTGGATCAGGCTCCTGATTTACTTCAACATGTCTGTTCGTTGCACGGGAGTTGCACAAGATGACCTCTGACAGTCCTTCCTAACTCTAAGGATTTTGATTCTATGATTCTTTGATTCTACATGGAAATCATCACATAAGGAAGACTATCTACATTATGCTTCATTTTTAATCAGATCTCTTCTATAGGCTTAATAAGAAAAAAAAAAAACTCCCCCTCTAAATTAAGACAATTTTAGGAATCATAGTCTATAAGATAATTTCATTTCCTTTACTACACTTCCAAAATTCTTCTACAGTTTTCATTATCACATTTACTGAATCTAGGGGCTTAAAACGTCATTAACATCTTAGTACTGTCTTCATTTTTTAAATTAAATCCTTCTACCATTTTTAATTTTAAGAGGAATTGCTACCATTTACTAGGTTACATAAGAGAGTTACATAAGAGAGAAAGCATTGTTAAAATTTACTATAAACCTTAGTGTGAGGTCTTTAACATGTGCCTGCCTTTGTACAAGTCAAGAACATCTCAAAAACACTTACCTGGAATCGGTAAAATGTGCCATCATCCTTTAGTGTTAGAACATGGTCTGAGATTGGAAAAAAATAACCATGTGCTGCCATCAGCGTTCCCAAATGTAGAGCTTCCACTGTTTGAATATCAAAACAAGATAGAAAAACATTTTAGAAGTTAGATAATTTATTTTAAGCAACTCAGTTTTCTATTTCCTGCAAATAGACACTTACTCCAGGTGCTGGCATCATGAAAGCATTGTTGTTGTTTTTTTTTTTCTCTTGGTGATAGAATGATACAACAAAAGAAAAGGTCTTTACTTTTCTTAATCACCGGCTATTAGACATCCCATTTTGTAGCTGTAATTTCACATCAGCATTAGTGGGTGGCTACTGTGACATTCACATACTTGCTCCAAAGGTGAAAACAGCAATCACTTTTATCCTGATGGTCTTGCCTCATTTTCCTCTTCAGAAGTTTCAGATTACACAACGTTTAAATACTTGACTCCAACTATATGATATATTCCTCACTAGCTTTACCAGAAAAGTAGTAAAGAACAAAAATTTTCTTAAAAATCTCTCAATATTAGGACAATAATGAAGGATCACAGAATCACAGATTAATTAAGGTCAGAAGAAGGAGGTCATCTAATCTAACCTTCCTCCCTCCCACCCCCCCCATTCAAACAGAACCATCTAGAGTAGGTTGTCCAGGACTGTGTTCAACAGGTTTTGAAGATCTCCAAGGACAACACTCCACAGCCCCTCTGGGCAATCTGTGCCAGTGCTCAGCCATCCATACAGTAAACAAGTGCATCCTGAGTACATCCTGATGTTCAGATAGAACTTCAGTCAACTGCCTTTTTTCTTGGTAGTTGGGTACCAAGAGAAAGAGTATGGTTCCATCTTCTTTACACATCCCTCTTCAGGCATTTATAGACATCTGAAAAGATCCCACTGAGCCTTCTTCAGGCTAAACAGTCTCAAGTCTCTCAGATTTACCTCATAAGAGACATGCTTCAAGCCCTTCATCTTTGATGACCTTCTTTGGACTTTCTCCAGCATGTCCACAACTGTCTAGTACTGGAGAGCCCAGAACTGGGCTGAACTCCATTCTCTTTAGTGAATAAAACCATCATACCTACCAGTCATGATTATATGTGTGCTTGTATTTTCGCTAAACCACTGACCATTATCAATCTCTAAAGTCTCATTCATTATTGTTAATATTTGGTTCATGATAACATTGTACTGTAGGAAGAGGTGGTTATTAGTTAAAGTCATTCTCTTAATACTGTATTTAAGTCTTACTCTTTAGAATACTCTTATCAACAATTTAACAACTGTAGTGCATGCCCCCAAAATATCTGTGGACAGCAATTTCTGTTGTTGTGTTAAATATTCCCTAGCATAACCTACTAATACAAGTGCACAACCACTGAAGCATACTAATTTTAAAAGATGAAGCTTGGAGAAGGTTACAAGGGTTTCTGAACTCAATGATAAAGCCATCAGTTATGGGAACGAGTGATAGAGAGGGCAGCAGTGCAGCAGCGTAACACCAGCAATATGAAAAGAAACAGATCAAAACAAAAGCCATACAGGAGAACTTAGAAATAAGGGGAAAGTGGAGGATGAAAATGATAGAAGGATAGAAGTAGTGAGATCTAATAAAGGAAGATTTTTTTTTTTTTTTTTAATCTAAAACAAGACTTCAATGTTATATAATCCGTGAACATACAGATGTTATAATTAAGAAATATACAGGAAGTTAGGCTAAACAGGTTATCACACCAAAGAAGAATAGATGGAAAGCTTACCCTTGTCCTGGGCTCACTGAGAAAACTGCAAGAGGAGCAATTTCCAAAGGAGATCCTTCCCTACTGGTAGTCAGCTCTTAAATGGGTCTAGGAGAGGTGCAGCCAGAAGCTCCACCCCTTCCAGCAGCACATGTGAATTACCTACCTGTGCTCCCAGGGCTGACTCATTGCTCACCTCAGGTGGTCAATCAGAGGTTGAGGCCATGATTCAGCAGTTCCATACAAGCATGAAGAGGTGCACAGTATTATCGTGCAGAAAAAGCCTGGGTCCTCAGCCCTGTGTTCTTTATGAGGATGATAGAATCATTTATGTTTCAGTTCAACTAAGGATATTCATAAGGTACAGAAGATACAGGAGGTATCTCTAATCTAATTCTCTATACAGGAGATATTAGAGATACAGGAGGTATCTCTAATTCTGTACTAAGGTACAGAAGATACAGGAGGCAGAGTGGGATGTTTGTAAGCTATCCCAAAGCCAGCAAGCATGTGTAAGAAGAATGAAAGGGGTCTGGACAGTAGTTTATTGAGAGCACACAACCCTAGAATGGCTTATTTGATACCCAACAATCCTTGTGATCTCCATGTTTTCCACAGTCTGTGATCTCTGGTTCCTGCCCCTCTGGCAGAGCTCTCATCTAAGAAAATCCAACACACTCTCTCTGGCAGTGAATTCCCTATCTACTGTAAAGTGCTATAACCCTCTTAACAAGACTTTTCCAAATTACAAGCCTACAAGAAAATTCAACGAAAGAATACATCTCTTCCAGCACTTGGGATGTGCAAACCCACACATGAACTTTATCCTAATTAGCTTAACCCCAAGTATTGTTGTTATTCATCTACCTCAAGCTACAGAATTATATTATGCTTTGGATAAGATACTTTGAGCAAAAACATTCCGTGGTGAGTCAGTTGCTGATTTTCTTTTCATTTTGGTTTACTTTGCTTTTTTTTTTAAATTTTATTAATCTTTTCTTTGTTCTTCACACTGCAAGTTTAAAAAGGTTTTTTTCCAGGCATTATGAATCTTTGTGGAATAAGAGCAAAAAAAAAAAACAAAACAAAAAACCAAAGGCAGAAAACGTGCTGACTTTTTCAGGGAAAGATTTCTTAGGTTAAGGGTGACAGGGCTTACCACAGAGTTCTTGACGCAGATGAGAACACATTCCCTTCAGATATAAAAGAAACTAAATATGTTCCAGATTTGCTTCATGCTTTTCTTGGTTTCTTAATTGTAATATTTTTCAAGAACACAAAGAGATAATATTATTATCTTTTACCTAGCAACCGTTAGAGCACATCTGGGCTACCATGCCCAGTTGTGAATACCACATCCACTCCAATACAAGAAAGACATAAGTGAAGCTGGCTAAGTCCAGTGGTGTGTCGCTGAGTTGGCTGGGGAACAGATCTCTGTCCTGTGAGAATCTGGAGGAGCTGGGCTTGCTCAAATTGAAAAAGAGAAGATTTTGGGTGTGCCTAGCAAAAGTCTTCCAGCTACTTAGAAGAGATTACCAAATAACAGAGCCATGATTTTTAAAAGATGCATGACAAACAAAAAGAATATAAATTAAGAGAGACAATGTTCATAAAATAAATCAGGGGTGGTTCTGATTTGACATATGGAGAACGTTTTCATGATGAGAGCAGCTAAGCAGCAGAAGAGGCTGCCCATATAGTCTGGGTCCTTGGCGAGTTTCAAGACTGAAGGAGCTAAAGTCCTGGACAGCCTGCTTGATCTTATAGTTTATGGTAATTAGAGCACAGCATTGGACTACAGCCCTCTTGAGGTCCTTCTCAACCTGAAACATATTACAGTTCTGTGACTCTTAAGTGGATGAAGCAGAAGTGAAACAAAGAGCAGAAAACAGGGATGTGGACAGCTGGAGAATAAATAATTTGAAAGCTGCCAGAGCAGCCTATAATCCTGGGAAGGCTGGTTACAGTAGGAGTAAGAGTTGTTACTTCTCTAACTTACTGCTGAGAAACTTAGCGTGTACCCAAGTGTACAGTCACTACTGAGTCTCTACAGAGAAATAGAAAAGACCATGATGGTTTTCTCTAGGCAATTAAAGCAATTAAGGTCAACTGAGATCTGAATTGTTCACCACAGCAGTCTGTGTCTCATCTTCAGCTATGCATGGAGACTAAGAAGGTTATACTCTCACCTCAAGTACCTTATTCAATTAGGATGAATCTACACTGACTCAGTGTTAAGGTATCTCTCTGCAGAGCCACTATGAGGTAATAGGGACACATAAACTTCCCTGTATTTTCTTTCAACTAATAGACAATTTATTTAAATTTGTATGACTATCAATCCAGCAATTTATTCCAGCACTGCATAAATATAAATGAAAAAAATATATCCTTTTTAACAGCAACCTAAGATCCTCTGTAGCTCACACAGGTGAGCAGTACCTGTTCTATTAAAAGAAAAAAGAAAAAAAAAAATAGAAAAAAAGAAAAAAATAAATGTATGGTATAATAAATACATTAACAGAACCATTCAGTTGGTAGTCTAAAATCCTCTCTATTAATATTATCTGACAATGACGCAACTGCATAACCAAAGCATTTTTTATTTGGTCAGAGACTGAATAACACATAAATCAAACACAGATCAACTAGGTGAAAAATGTTCACAAAATTGTAAATGGTGAATAATGTCCAGAAATGTGCAACCTTGCCTCATATCAGACTGACTCAAGACTAACACTGCTCTTCTCTGCAGGACAGCAATGTAATTTCCACATAGAATGAAAGGATTCTTATTTCCAAACAACAAAAGGAATGCTTAAGTATACATCTGATTTTGCTAAAATCAGACTGAAAATCCAAATGAAGTACAATTGTAGGATTCAGGAAACAAAACATGAAACAAAAAGTGAGCTTGAAAAGGAGAATGCAGCCAGCAGCAGACTAATCCTACAAGCCTAAATGCCTAGAAGTTCAGTTCAGACGGCTTCATTAGTCCCCAGGTATTCCTGCATGTGGAATTAGGGGATTTTGACCTAAAAAAGCATCTTACATCTGCAAGAATAGCAAAGGGAGGTTAGGAACATTAAAAACATTGTAAAGTGCATTAGAAAAAAGAAAAAAGAAAAAACAAATCTGAAAAAATACTTTTAAATATAAAAGTTACTACTTAAGAAGTTTAATTACTTATATTCAGAATAAAAAAAAATCCAAAAATAGGAGGAACATAGACTAAAAGCAATAAAAAGCTTCTTCTTACATGGCAACTGTAAACAAACATGCAATGTGATATGTACATAACAATTATTTCCAGGTATTTAGTCACCATGCAG